TGGGGTGCAGGGGACAAGTGTCAAGACAGGGAGCAGCGCAGGGGGCTTATAACGCTTCCTCTCCCTCCACCTGCCAGTCTCTTCTACCAGGTGTTGGCCCCCCATTTCCCACCGTGGACGGTGCCAGCCAGGAAGCGGCTGTGGCACCCTAAGGAGAGCCATGTCCCCAGACCAGGCCCTGGACTACCCTGAGGCCTGGGGAGGGGCAGCCACACATTCGGGAGCAACTCTAGGAGCCGTGCCTCAAAGCCTTAGCTCACTGAGGCCACACCTGCCACCATCACCTCGGTTCCCTTCCTTGATGACTAACCTCCCATTCCCAAGGACAGACCAACGGATGGAGTCCCTAGGTGCAAGGCACTGCAAGGCAAAATGTGGGCAGCACATCACCCAGGAGCAGAACTGGCACGGAAATAGGCCGGCGTTTGAGTCATGGTCCTTACTAGCTGGGTGACCCTGGATGAAATTAATCTCTCCCCATCCTCAGCCTCCTTTCTTTGAAAAGGACCCCTTAATAACACAATAAATGACAGCTTTATTACTGTCACTCTCCCTGCCATTCATCCAACACATAATTATTGAGAGGCTTCTGAGTGCCAGGGATGGGAACTGGACCTTAGATTTTAAGATCCCTAAGTGGAATCACTTGGCCTGACTCGGGGCCACCAGCTATGTGATGTGTCAGCCTTGCTCTCACACCTGTCGTGAGCCCCACAGACTCCAAGACGCTCCCGTGCAACTAAGCCACACTCAGCCACAGTAACTGGTGGCACCAAGGATGGTACCAGCGCGGAGATCGAATGGTAAATAGAACTGTTCGCTACCACTGTCCTCCCGCCCGCTGGGGAAAACTGTCAAGAAACACACTGACACATGCTGTGCGGCATACAGAACACATGCTGCGCTGTGCCATTGCCTTTCCTACTAAACCCATCCGTGGCCCTAATGGGGGTGCAATTCTGAGTCCTCCTGAGGAAGAGGACCATGAGCAGCAGGAGTGAAGGAATGTGGACTTCGGGGCACCCTTGAATCACATCCCATGGAAATTCATCAAGCTGGGCCCGGGCCAACTTCCTGCTACCTCCCAGACCTTAGCCTGATTGGGAGTATGTGACCACGATGCTCACCCTCCCCAGCCTGAGATCCCACATGACCCCCATGGTCTGCAAGCCTCCCTGGGCTCCCGGTCACAGCCTTAGGCAGGGACCTGGCTGAGTTTGCACCACTGTTTGGTGTCCTGGCTTAGTGGCTCGCTGTGGGAGGGCTGTCCCTTTTTGAGGAAGGGCGAATCGCAAATGTCACTGGCTGAGACCCAAGTGCAGGCTCTTGCCAGAGGCACTACTTTTACACCAGCCTGCACAGTCTGGTGCCAGTAATGAAAGAAACTGACAGTCCATTAGCAGGGGAATGGTCCGCAGGCTTAGGGAAGGAGCTGTCATCTACCTCACTTCAAGGGCTTTTGAGGGCGAAATAACTGTGTGTGTGTGTGTGTGTGTGTGTGTGTGTGTGTGTGTGTGTAATATTTTTAAAACCAAGAAAGGAATATCAATGGCAACTATGCCTGTTGAAATGGGCAGTAACCAGAAACACAGGGGAAGGAATGTCAACAAGCTTCTGGTGCTGTCTTCCTATGCCCTACTGGCAGGTCTGAGAAGCAACAGAACAACTGTAAGAAACACTGCAAGACCCTTAAAGGTCTTCTCATCTACCTCTCTCTGATGGGACTCTTACTTCAATGCTCCTGATGAGGAATCATTCTCTCACTTGAATGCCTCAAGTTACGGGGAACTCACCACCCACTGGGATGTCTTGAAAGTTCTTCCTGGCCTAAGTGCTTAAACTTGGGGCCATATAACTTCTCCCCCTATTGCTCCTCATTTTATTCTTATACACACACACACACACAGAACCCAGTCTTTTTCTCTCCAAGACAGCTCTTTTGTGGGTCTCCTTTCCATGTAGACATGGTTTAACATGCCCTTGCCAGTCTGCCAACTGCTTTCTGGACAAGATCCAGTTTGTTAATAACATCTTTGCAATGTGGTCCCCATACTGAGAAATGTAAAATCTCTGCCGCAGCTGTTACCAGTGCAGCAGCACGTACATGTGCACAAATACACACATGCATAGAAGTAAATCTCTAGTTGTATTTTCACCCGTCCCACATTTCATCGTACTGTGAAATGCCTTCCTGAGGCCCGAGTGCATCACCTTTGTGGGGTGTTTTTGATCCATCGCCCTACCGATTTCATCTAGGAAAAGGAAAAACAGAAAGAGGGTGCCAGGACCAGCCACTTCCCACCCCGACAGTGGGGATGAGTGGGACTTCACACTCCTTGCTGTGGACATGGATCCCCTACTGATTCGACCTCCGATCACGTTAACCTTCACAAAGGTCATTCCTGACTCCACCTGAGCTTCAGGCTAGGCAAAGACACAAGATACGCAAAGACACAAGTTTTGGTTTTAGCACAGGAACAACAGGAAAGTTAGTAAGATGATGTGCGATGTGTTCATGACTTCCCTCCCCTCCAGGTCATAGGGGAGGCCAGCTGTGAGCTTCCAACGTCCTTTGGGTGGGACTTTGGGCAAAGGTACAGCAAAGGGTAGAGAAGAAGAGGTGGTGTCTGAAGCAGGAGAGGTGGATGGGGGAGAGAGATCACAAAGCAAAGAGCAGTTCACTAGGACTGGCAGAAGGCCGGGGATTTAGCTCACTGGTTCCGGCCCCTGCCTTGAAAGCACAAGGACCCAAGTTCCCCCTGGTACAAAAAACAAAAACCAACAACAAAAAACTAGGATTGGCAGAAAAAAGAAGGGGTGGCAGGAACGGGCGCCCTGCAGGCCCACAGCACTTGTCAGCAAGGGGCATTCTGAACCCTGCAAGGGCAGTAATGTCAAGGGCAAGGGTGGATTCCAGGGCTGAACCTGAACATCAGGTAGCAGGAGGCACTCTTAGATGTTGAACTCCAAAAGCCCAGCCAAACCCCTGCCCTCTGCCCCAGAGGCCAAGGTCCTGGTGATCCTAGAGGCCCAAGAGGTGATGCAGGTTTAATTTCTAAAGACCGCCCTAAAAGAAACAGAGTAAATCGGACTCAAAAAATAAAAAGACCATAGCCAGGTGTGGCAGTGTATGCTGGTAATCCCTCACTTGGGAGGCTGACAAAGGGATTGTGAGCATAACGCCAGTCTGAGCTACACTGCAAGACCCTGTCTCAAAAAAGAAAAAAAAAAAAAAAAAAAAAAAAAAAAAAAAAAAAATAAAAAAAAAAAAAAAAAAAAAAAAAAAAAAAAAAAAAAAGAAAAGAAAAGAAAGAAAGAAAGAGAAAAAAGAAAGTGAGCGGTCTTGCCACAGGTAGCTCCTCTCTCAAGGCTCGCTGTTGACATGGGGGGGCCCAAGTGTACTGCTCTGTTTATTCATGTTTGTTTTTTTGTCCCAGCCATCAAAGCAGCCTTCTGATTTATGAGTATCCTAACTGCCAGTCATTCTATAAGCTCTCCCTCCAAGGTTCATGAGGCCTGCAATGTGGGCTGCCTCATTCCCATCCCTAGTAACAGGTGTGGGATCTGGCTTTGCCAAGGGCAGAGGGCAGGGCTTGTGCAAGCCACTGGAGGTGTCCTTCCGGCCGGGCAGGTGGACAGCTGGCTGTCACTCCCCCACAGCCCATTCATCCCCCCAGGATTTATCTAACTCTACTGCTCACGGTGCCACACGCCTCTGCCGTGTCCTTAAGGACATACTTTCAAACGCCCAGCTGAAACCCAGAGGTACTCAGTCTGCTCCTTGTTCTCAATCTATCAGCACAGTGACCCTATCAGAAGGAAGAAAAATAAAAGTAGGAAATCAGGCAAAGGTTAAAGCAGCCTGACACAGATTGGCGCTAAGTGGTCCCTGCTGCCTTCCCGGGGGCTTCTCTAATCTGGCCAAACCCCCTCCAAGCTCATCACCTAAGGTCAGGTGCCCCTCCCCGACCGACACGTTCCAGTGTCCCCGCCCTGGTGTCCTGGAGATCTATGCATCAGTGTTCAAAATCTGACAGTAAGAGGAGGAACTGCAAACCAGACCACTGATGAACTTTTTTTTTTTTAATTAACAGGTCTACAGAAAACCTTCATGAAATCAGGGGACAGAATACAAACCATGGTGACCTGTATATAAAACCTGGCACAAATATGGCCTTTTGGAATCATTTAGATATAAAAATATGCATTAAAATCTGCACGGGAGCACTGTGCAGCACCTGGCTGGCGATTCTGGTGGGAGCGGCCTCAAGGCAGGTCTGGTCCATGGACACTGGGAGCCCCTGGTCCCAGCCTCCAGGTGGGCCCCACGGGAGCCCCAGCTCCTAGCAGAGGCCAAAGCAGTTTCTCTGAGGCAGGACCCCAGTGAGCACCAAAGTGCCACCAGCCTGGCAGGGAACAAAAATGGTGCTGGTAGAAGGGCAGACGAGGAGGTGTGACCTCTTTCCTTTGTCTCTGGGCTCTAAACACTGTTCCAGGAGCCTTGCCCACTGGTAGACGAACCACCCTAATTTAGAGGAACTTTTGCAATTTCCAAATACATTTTTCCCAGGTAAGCTGATTGATTCTAACTCAAGGAGCCAAATCATACAGACTGATATGAAGGATCAACAATGAGTTCTGTTGTGTTCTGTAGGCCAAGACCTTAAAACACCCACCAGAATGGCCAATCACAACAGAAAAGTACAAGGATGACTGACTGACCATCTGAACCTGTTTCAGTCTTGGACCAAAAGCAACTGAGTGATTGGAGCCCAAAAGTTCCAAGAAGCAGCGCACGCTCAAGGCTGTGCCCCTCCAGATGTGACCTAACTGAAGCCTCGACTGTGTCTGCACAAGGCCACAGTCTGGAGAGGAGCCCAACCCATAATGCACATCCGTCTCCAAGGATGAAGACGGTTCCTCCACTGGCAGGGCTGTCACTGTGGCTGAGCAGGCCCAGGGCTGCCGTCCACTGGCTTGTCCGTTCACCGGTTTCTATACTGCCTTCTCTGTGGCGCTATGCAAAGTGGTAATGTCCCTGACCCAGGCGCTGGCTCCACAGAGAGGAAACACACACAGGAACGGGGCAGAGGGACATGGGTGCAGAGTGGACAGAGGGCAGCATGAGGAGAGGTGACTGGGAGGAAAAAGCCCTGTGGACTGGAAGAAGCCTGCAAGGATGGCAGTGCCTCTTATAATTTTGGGGCTCCTGATAGTTACTGAAAGGGCTAGGAATACTTCCTGTCATCTTCCAAGATTCTACAAGTGGAAAACAGCTACTCTGCTACTTGCTGTCCAAAAGCAAGTGGTTTTCTCAGCTGCCTCCAGGGTGGGTTTTTCTTCCTCCCCACCCAATTGCTGCAGGGTGATCTGATACTCAATTGTGGCAACAGTGAAAGGAGAGATGAAGGACTGATGTGTCTGAATCACAATTTCGGCAAAAACCCGGGAGCTGCCCCAGGCTGTTAATGAGGGACTCTCTCTCTCTGGCAGCATATTTCAGGATGCCGGTGCTGAACAAGAGACAGGTGCTGCCCATGTTAATGGGGCCTGGAACCAATTACTGCTTTTGCCTACACGGCCAAGCCAGGAGGGTGACACTGCGCCTCGCAGCTATGGCTCTGTCAGCACAGAGGCCAGCCCAGGCAGCTCCTCCGTGACATCTTAGGACACTGTCCAGAACAAGCAGAAACCTGGTCTGCTCCATCTTAAGGTGACCTGACAACACCCTCTAGTGGAAATTATAAATAAAACAAGGTCCATGTGTCTGTAATTACTTCTAGTTGCAGAGTGGTTTCAAGATTCCCCATAACATGTGAAAATTAAAAACAAAGCAGATTATCTTTAAGAACATAATAATAATATAAAAAGGCATGATTCTCACAAGGCTTAGGACCCACCCTGCCAAGTCATATTCCCTCTCCGGGAACCCTATTCTAGAACATTCTCAGAGGGGGAAGTGCTGTTTTCGAGGAGCTGCCAGTGCCCTCAGAGTTTGGGCAGACTGCCTGCCGGGGCCAGGATGATGCCAAAGACGTAGAAAAGCCCTAGCAGAAGGTTAAGCTTGGCCGTCCTCTGGGGCAGCTTGTTGAAGGCCTGGCTGCGGAACTGCCTCTCGAGGGAGAAGGCCATGGGGATGGTGAGCAGGGGCAGTGCCAGACTGATGCTGCAGTGTGTGGCCAGGATGCTGAAGATCAGGTAGGGCAGGAAGAGCAGCGTGTTGTAGAGCACGTAGGAGATGGTGGGGCCGATGAGGATGGCCAGCGTGACGATGCCGGCCTCCCGGTCAGACTCCATGTCCCTGGTGTTGTTGGAATGGAGAATGGCCTCGGTGCTCAGGGCCAGGGGGATGGCGTAGACCAGAGGGAAGATCGCCAGCGAGCCCACCTGGACGGCGTAGGCGAACATCACGGCCAGAGGGCCGAAAGTGATGAGGATGATGAGGTCTCCCAGGGCCACATACTTGAATCCAATTCCTGTGGCCAGAAAACCCAGAGAGGGGTGTGAGATTGTGGGCTAGCTGGAGCAGGCTGCAAAGGTGGGCACCCATTTGGACCCCCAGGGCAAACTATGATTTCACCTCCCAGGACGCTGGAACAGAGAAAACCCGGGTAGGTCTCAGACTCTACCTACTCAGGTTCATACCCACCTGTGCCCACCACTGGGATCCCATGGCAACACTCGCAGTGAAGCCCCCTGGCTCCCACTATACAGTTCAGTGCCCGAACCGTGAGGAGCAGAAAGGCTGCACAACCCAGCTTCTCTGGCTTCTTCACCTCCACCCCCGTGGAGTCCCCACCCGGCCTCCTACCTTCCCACCTCCTCTACACTCTCTGGAGGCCTCTGCTTTTGAAAACCCCTGGTGAATCACAGGGACAGTTCAAGGTCCCTGAACTCCCACACAAAGAAACTTTCACTCACAGGTGAATAAAACAGCTAGGCCAGAAGTTATCATGCAGCTTCCCCTCCCTGGTTCCCATGAAGTCAAAATGAAACCAGCGCTGCCTAGGGCTCCTGCACTCTACCCTGCATGAAGTCAAAATGAAACCAGCGCTGCCTAGGGCTCCTGCACTCTACCCTGCTTCAAACTCTGTCTGACTCACATCTTTCAGACCTGCCAGAGCGACTCCATCCCACCTCACTCCATTCCCAAGTCCAAGTCTGGGTCACCAGAGGCCTGGGAGACAGCAACCCCTCCCTCCTAACCAGCTTTCAGTTGAGACAGGCGAGGAGGTGATTAAGGTGTAACCAATGCACCAGGCGCCTCAGGGAACCAAAACAAAGAAAACTCTCAGGTGATCAAGAACCTTTTAACCACTCTAAAAGGGCAAGTGACAATGGTCTGCAAAGGACTGAAAATCATCGGAGCCAGGGGCTTACTTTCATTGCAGCTGGGTGCACTGGTGCAAAATGAGCAGTCTGGGTTCATTAGACAGAAGCGTCCCCAGAAAGAACACTGCTGGCACGGCCTCCAAGGCTCCCCAAACACCAGCAAGCTAGTTCCGTACCTGAGCCCCTTGCTCTCCCTAAACTGGCTCTCTGAGGACACTCCCTCAAGAGGAAGAATCTACCAGCCAACACCAGCTCCGGGCCTGAATTAGTAAACTGATACCCTCTGCAAGGTCTCAAGCATTTAGGGGACTCCCTGCCCAGTGAGGATTCCAGGCTGGAACACACCCAGCCAGCTCCAGCAAGCTCCACCAGCTGCTGCCCCTCTTTTGCCCCAAGCCAACATCAGAGCCCTGGCTTGGAAGAAAACACAACAGCACAACACTTGACTTCTGGCTGGATTCTCCAAGAACACCTCCCCGTATCACCACAGAAAACTGACTTCGGTGAGGTGGAGCAGAGACACAGGTCCCCATCCTAAACAGGTCCTGAGCAAAATAACGAGCACAAACCCACTCAAGGAGAGAAAGGTCTGATAACCTCCTTGAGGTTATCTGGCAAAAAAACAATGATGGCCCCTGAAGAGAGCCTAAGTGATGGATATATGGCCCAAGGCTGTGTGATCTAACTGATTCAGAAATGGGGCACATACCGAAAGGGGGCACATGCCTGTAATCCCAGCACTCAGGAGGCTGAGGCAGGAGAATCATCATGATTCAAGGTCAGCCTGGGCTACAAAGCAAGTTCAAACCAGTGTGAACTACTGGCAAGACCCTGTTATAAACAAAACAAATGTGGCTCAACAGGGCATGGTGGTACACAGCTCTATCTTCAAAGGCTCTAACATTCTTTTGGTGCTGTAATCCTAGCATTTTGGGAGACTGAGACAGGAGGATTGCAAGTTCAACCCCAGCCAGGACACTTTAGTTTGACCTTGCCTCAACATGGGAAAAGTTTTAAAAGCCAGGGATGCTGCTCAGTTAGAAGGCCTGGGGTTCAATCATCAGCACCAAAAACTAAGTAAATAAATACACATATGTGTATACATATGTATTAATTCCACACAGGAACTTCCTTCCAGACATACCAACCCCTCAACACCATTTTCTGGATGAGCTAGCACAGTGAAACACTGAGGCTCTTGTCCACACAGCAGCCAGAATTAATCTGTGAAGACATAAATCAGAGCGTTGGCAAGGGAACAGAGCCATTGGAATGCTCATGTATGGTGTTGGGAATGTGAAATCATACAGCCACTTCCAAAAACGGCCTGGCACTTTCTCATAAAATAAAATATCACCCATCCTGTGCCCTGACAGCTCCATTTCTAGGCATTTACCCAAGAGAAATAGCCAAATACACATAGGTCCCTGAACGGGAGAATAAAATGTGGTATATTCATCAAAGAAGTGCTATTTAGCAAAAAAAAAAGGAGTTACTGACACACATAACAACTTGATGCATTTTGAAAACATCATGCTGAGCAAAAGAAGCCAGACCTAAGCATCCGTAGTGAAATAAATATGGTGCACAGCAAACAGCTCCATCTGTACAATGCTCTAGACCAGGCAAAACGAATCCATGTGAGAGCTAAATCTGGTTACATCACTGTTCTGCTGAACATTTTCAAGGTCTTCCTGTTTGTTCACTCCATGAGTATCTTAAGCACCACCTACCAGGCACTGCACTGGGCACTAAGGGTGCAGCTGACAAGGAGTGAAATCCCTGACCACAGGGAGCTCAAGTCTCGGGGGAAATTAACTACCAAATGCGTACTGTATATGGTACAGGTGTATTAGAGGACAGTATGTGCTGTGCAGAAGATAAAGCTGAGAAGAGGAATGGGGAGGGTACCTGGGGTGGAGGGACACAGGGCAAGGGTGTATGATTTTAAATAAGGTAGAAAGCAAGGCTTCACTAAGCAGGGGACATTTGGGCGAAGAGTGAAGGAAGCCACAGAGAGCCATACATGGGGAAAGTGTTCCAAACAAGCAGTCAGTTCCTCAATGTATTTTGAATGAAAGCAGGATTTGCTGATGAGCTGGATGAGATGTGAGGAGAGCCCAGGAGGATGCCCTGACTTTGGGCCTGAAGAAATGGAAGGGTGGGGTCTAGGGCTGGGGACAGAACGCAGCGGTACAGTGCCGGTCCAGCACTCTCATGGCTCTGGGTCTGATCCCCACACTGCGAACACAGCCACCACCACCATCACTGAATGAAATGGGTGAGGCTCTGGGCAGGGCAGGTATGTAGGGGCCGAAGATCAGGAATTTGATTGCAGTCAGGTTGAGCTTGAGATGCCAGTGAAGGACTGGATAAGGGTAAAACTCAGTGGTATAGCACATGCTCCACAGGCATGGGCAACCCCCACCCCCACCAAAATGAAGTTGGATAGATCTGGAGTCTGAGGGTTGCCAACTTAATAAAAGGCTTTTGAAACCATGAGTCAGGCTAAAACCACCAAAAGAATGAAGGGAGCTGGAGAAAAGAAGCCCAAGGACAGTCGTATTGGCTAAGGAATGGGTAGAGGTCAGCAAAAGTGGCTCTACTGATCAGAATGAACCAGCCCCTGCCTACTTCTCTGCCTGAATCCCACACTCCCTCAGCACCGCTGGCCTTTTGATCCTAGAAAATGCCACTCTCTCCCACCCAGGACATCTGCACTTGCTGGCCCTTCAGCCCGAAGGACTGAGCACATTAGATGATTCCAATTCTACCCCATGACTGGCTCCCCAACCTTCAAGTCTTAGCTCACCCTCCACAGAGAGGGTGCTGTAGTTAGGGTAAGTGTCACCACAGGTTCACTTTTTAAAGGCTGGGTTCCCAGCCTGTGGCATTACTGGTAGGTGGTAAATCTTCAACAAGTGGGGCCCAGCAGGACGTCTTCCAGTCCCTGGGGGTAAGCCCTTAACACCCCTTCCTCTTACTCTCTTTCATTCCCTGACATGAAGTAGACAGAATTTCTCTGCCACACAAATCCACCATGAGTACTATCTGGCCATAATTTAATCAACTATGGTCTGAAACCTCCAAAACTATGAGCCAAAACAAACCTTTCCTCTTTTTAAGTTGATTCTCTCAAGTATTTTGTTTTTTGTTTTGTTTTGTTTTTTGAGACAGGGTCTCACTATGTGGTTGAGACTGACTTAGGCTGGTCTCAAACTCACAGTGATCCTCCAGCCTCAGCCTCCCGAGTGCTGGGATGACAGGCGTATGCCACCACACCCAGCCTCTCAGGTATTTTGTTACAGTAACAGAAAGCTAACACAGACAGCCTCTTCACCATCACTATCTTATACTTTCTATTTTAGCACCTATTAATCTATTGATTTCCTTTAAAGAATTTTTTTTTTTTTTGGTTTGGAACAGTCTCATTATGTAGTGTAGACTGGCCTTGAACTCAATATGTAGTCCAGGCTGGCCTCGAACTCATGGCAACCCTCCTGCCTCAGTCTCCCAAGTATGGGATTAGAGGCGTAGGACACCATGCTCAGCTACTAAACTTTTAAATTGTCCCCAAGCTACAGCTGGCTGCTAGAACACTATGGTTTCTTGATTTTCCTGCTACTCCTCTGGCTGTTCACTCATGGCCCCCTTTACCTGCTCTTCCTCATCTCCCTCATATCTTAAGATGGAGGGTCCTGGGTCCTCCTCTTTTTTCTACATTTTTTTACTCCCTTCTCTAAAGATCTCCATCAGTCTTATGTAACTTCATCTATACACCAGTGACTCTCAAGTGTCTATATCTCTAGCCCAGACCTCTTTCCTGAACTAAGCTTCTCTATATAGTCAACTATCCATCTGATACCTCTGCTTTATGAGTTCTAATAGACACTAACAAATCAATCTCTTTATTTCCCCAAAAAATCCTATTCCAGCTTCATCTTTCTCCATCTCACATGATGACATCAATTGTATTCTTCCAGTTGTTCAGGCCAAAACTTTTGGTTATGCTCACTCCCTGTTCTCTATCTCACATCTAACCCATCACAAACCCTGTCTGCCTTCAAATGCAGAGTCTGACTCCTTACCTCTCCTGCCATCATCATCCTGATCCTCACCTCCAAACATCCTGTCTGGATTAGTGAAGCACCTCTGCCTTAGTCTTCTCGCTCCTATCCTTGCCCTTCTATCCTCTATCCATTCTCAAAGCTTAACCAGTGATTCACTGAAAACAGTCACATCCCACCTTTCTTCCTCTTCAGAGTGAAGTCCAATGGCCTACGAGGCCTACCGCATCTGTGTGCTCCCTCTCTTTCCCAGACCCAGTCCCTCATTGTACCTCCCTTTACGGTCTTCCTCAGTCACACACTAGGGTCCTTACTGTCCCTCACACTCTTGAGGCCCACCTCTGTCCAAAGGCACTGCGGTACCTGCTCTTCCCTTTTCTTGGAATTCTAAACCTTCTTCATCTCTTCCCTACTTCAATCCAGCTCAAATATTACCTTTTCGATGAGGCCTACTCTGACAAAACTACTCACAACTAGTAATCTGTATCCCCCTTCTCTGCTCTACATTTTCCCCGTCATGACCCTCACTCTTGAATATAGTTACGTGCTGCACAATGGATGCTTCGGTCAGTGATGAACCAAGTATATGATGGTCCCATTAGAGTAAAATAAGACCGACTCTGTCTGTGGTTTATGTATTTACTATACCATACTTCTTGCCATCATTTCATTTTATTTTTTGTGGCAATTTTGCTATGTAGCTCAGGCCGGGCTTAGACTCAAATTCTTCTTCCTCAGCCTCTTGTGCTGGGATGACAGACTTAGGGCAGGGTCTGTACCTGCTGTGCCCACACAGAACAATACCTGGCACATGACAGGTACTCAGTAGGGCTTAACCCTTAGCCATCACCTTAATCAGCTGCTACATGATGTCACCGAGCAAACTAGCTGAAAATTCATAGCTACTGCGCAGAGCATGGTGGCACACACCTGAAATCTGGCACTTGGGAGGCTGAGACAGGAGGTCTGCAGTGAGTTTGAGGCTGGCCCAAGCTACATAGTGAGTTCAAGCCCAGCCTGAACTTCGAGACTCTGTCTCAAAAAACAAAACAAAAAAGTTAATAGCTGTATAATTTTGAGCTCTTCAGATTTACTTCCACTAAAATCTGAAACCATGGCTTTACAAAGTATAATCAACAAAAGAAAACTAGACTTTAAAAAATGCCCCTACATGTATTTGAGTCGCACCCAACATGGATGACCAGGACGGTATTTTCACAACTTAACTTTTCAGAACATCCACTAGCTACACGACAGATTTCAGGTAAGGTGGTCTAATGTAGGAAAAGAACCTTTGACATTTCTACAACTCCTGAGCGAAGAACTAGTTTCCTGTACAAGCAACTGAGACCCGCAGCACAGGAAAACAGGCCAATTCTTACCTCCTGTGTAGAGAAAAGAGCCAGAAAGACCTCCAAAGTAAATGAGAGCCAAGTGCTCCAATTTCAAAGGGGACAGGTAATAGAGGCAAGCAGCACAGATGCAGCCCAATGTGTAGAGGAAGACTCCGAACCGAACAACGTCTTTGGGCTCCAAGATTCGGTCCACCAGCGTCCTGTCATCACTCTTCTTGTGGTCAATGCCCTTGGAAAAGTCATAGTAAGTGTTGACCAAATTGCCGGCCCCATGCACAGCCAGGACAGCGACAGCACAACCAACCAACAGCCTAGGATCCAGGACGCCCTGGGATCTGTATGCCAAGGCACTGCCCAGGGCTACCGGGGTGAGCGAGGCACTGAAGCTCCAGGGCCTCAGGGCCAGCACGTAGGAAGTGCATTTCTGCCCGCGGGAGCGCTGGGGAGGCCTCTCGGGCTCCGGCCAATCATTCCCCAGCGAATCCATGTCCTCGACCTTGGCTGTCTCTTCCGCCTGGATGTTCATCTTCTCCCCCGACGCCGGCAAGGCAGCCATGGAACCCGCACGTGGCGAAAATCAATTCTAAAAGGGAGCCACTGACTCACAGCGACCGCCCCGGGGCAAGGATAGGCGGGGCAGACGGGCCCGACCTTTCTTAGGTTCCACCCCGGGGGCAGGGCTGGGAAGGCGTTGGGGACCGGGAATAGCAGCGAGTGGACCTTACACCTCAAGAGGACAGGCGGCGCCGCCCCGACTGCCCGTCACCTAAGTAGGTGAGTGAATGGAAACTGTCCCTAGCTCCAGCCCCGCGCTAGAGCTCAAAGCTTCAATTCGGCCGCCTCCAGCAGGCGGCCATCTTGTGCGCCGGCCTCAGTAGGCCGCCCGGAAACAGAAGCCAAGGCTAGGGCAGGGCCGCACGAGCACAGCCGGAGGGAGGGGCGGGGGCCGCCGATGGGCGTGGTTTATAGGGGGCGTGTCGTGGTGGGCGTGGCCAGCCGCCTGGGCTCTGCAGTGCACCGGAATCTGTCGCTGCAACCCCAGTGCCCCGGGAGCTTCTGCGAGACTGCTTGGAGACAGCTTCATTTAGCATCCCAAGAGCGACCCCAAGGCGGGTTGCTTTGTAACTTACCAGACATTTAAGATTAGCACTAGTTTTGTGTATATGTGTGTGCTACCTGGGACAGAACCCAAGGCCTTCGCACTGAGCCACATCCCCAGCCAGCCCTCTTAGCTTTACCTGTCTTAAACGTTCTGGGAGCACAGTAAGGCAAGATCGTGCGATGCAAAGCCGAGTGCTGAATGAATGGCTTGTGGAGTTTATACTGCAGTGGAAGTGAAAAAGGGAATGGTGGTGTGGGTCGTGCACCAACACTAAATCAAGAAATCATACAAGCAGCCCTCCGAATCAGAGGGCTTTGTGTACTCTCCAAGGACTGCTCACCTCTTTCCAACTTTCCATCCAGCCACATCGTCAGTGGCTGGAGATCTGCCGTGATGAGAGAAGCGTCTGCAGCCTGCAGATCAGCAAATGCTCTAGGGTCGTGTAGACTTGAGCCGATGGGAGAGAAAATGGGAATCCTGCAGATGAAACGAAGAGTGCACCTTCTCTGTAGCAGTTACATCGTGAATAATACCAAAGATTTTGAGGAATCCTTCTTCCAGTGGTGGGAAACTATCCAGTTCAGCAAATCAGTTGTTTATGGCAGTAACAAACCTGTGAAGTCCAATATACCCTTGGTTGTCTCACATTGCTCATGATTAACATAAAAGAAAGTAGACAACCAACATTTAGGTCTGAACTCTGCAATCACAGAGAGACTCCATAATGCCAATGCATACCGAGAAAATCGGCTCTATGAATTTACTTACCATGAATAGTGTGTATTATTATTTGTAAACTGTGAGCTGCACATTCTATCAGTGACCCTTATAATACACATGTAGCACATCACATGACTGACTACACAATTTGTAAAGCCCAGTGCAAAATAAAATTGTGGGGTCCCTTCTTCAAAAATCATTAACTTTACCAGGTGCAGTGGCATGTACCTGTAATACCAGCACTCAGGAGGCTGAGGCAGGAGGATCACTGAAGAGTTTGCAGCTCATCTGGGCTACATAGTGAGTTCAAGGACAACCTGAATTATATACTGAGACCTTGGCTAAAAAAAAAAAAAAAAAATCCCTATGCATTTTAAGTGCTCGGTAAATATTAGCTATAAGTTTAACATAATTTATGATACCAAAGGTCTTTTCAAATAGAAAAGAAACCTGCAAATTGCTGGTGACTTTTGTTATAAACCTGCTTAGCTTGTTAATTTGTGAACAGGGTCTTACACCTTTGGGTGGCAACAATCTTGTATTTGCTGGTGGGAGTGCAAACTGGTACCACCTTTATAGAGATCAGTCTGACAATATCTATCAAAACTACACATGCTTTTATCCTGTAACCCCTTTGTGGGAATTTGTCTTGGTTATAGCTGCCAAGGGAAAAAATGATGTCTAAACATATATGTTTATTACAGCATTTGTAATAGAAAAAATTGGGAAACGAACCAAATGTGGTGCTGCACACCTGTAATCCCAGCCCTCTGGAAGGCTGAAGCAGGAGGATGCAAGTTCAAGCCCAGCCTGGATATTTTAGCAATTTAGCAAGACCTTGACTCAAAATATGAAATTTAAAAAGCCCTGGGGATGTAGCTTAGTCCTAAGGTGCTGGGTTCAATCCCCTGTATGAGGATGGGGTGTGAGGGGTGGACTAGAAATAACACAAGTATCCATTGTCGGAGGGTAGGGATAAGAAATTCAGATACAAGCATGTGATGGAATACTATGTAGCTATCACAAAGACAACAAAAGAACAAGGAAGCTCTCTGTATACTAATATAGAAAGACCTCCAACATATGCTAGTTATTAAAAATGCAGAACAATGTATATAGTGTAACAAAAAGGGGAAAATAAAAATATTTTAATATTTATTTGTATCTGCATAAAGGAACACCAGAGATACAGCAGAAACAAAGAAAATAAGTAGTGAAGAGGCAGAGGTGGGGGGATAAATATAACTCCCTAGAGATTTTGATAGTGAACGTACCTTTCTTTTGGCTGGTGCCAGGGATCCAATCCAGGTCTTCAAGCATGCTAGGCAAGTGCGGTACCACTGAGTTACAACCCTGGGCCTAGAAAATAATTTAATAATACATATTATAGACGTTAGCTGGATGTGGTGGCCTATGTCTGTAATCCCAGCATTGTGAGAGGCTGAAGCAGGAGGATCACAAGCTGGAGCCCACAGCCTGGGCGATTTAGTGAGACTCTGTCTCAAAATAAAAAATAAAAAATGGGCTGGGAATGTATCTCAGTGCCAAAGCCCTGGGTTCAATCCCCAGTACCACAGAATAGAGATAGAGATAGAGATAAGAGACAGAGACAGAAGGGAGCAGCGGGGGAGAGAGGGTGGGGGAGACTGAAGCTGAGTATGGTGGTGCATGCCTGTAATTCCAGCTACTTGGGAGGCTGAGGCAGGAGGACTGCAAGTAGAAGCCAGCCTGAGCAATTTATGAAGACCATGTCTCAAAATAAAAAAAAAACAGCCTGGGGATGTAATTCACCTGCCCCTGGGTTCAATCTCCATTACCACAAAGCAAACAAATTCTTGAATTGCTTTGTTAGCCACTACCAAATATTTCCAAATCTCTGTAATATGGCAGTTTAGACTTCTGTGAACTTTTTAACTCTTGTTTTTATTATATTAGTAATTAATGGTAATGTTCAAAGAAGGTGTCTTCCATAAATCTCATTACCTTTTTCGTATTTCTCCCATTTTAATAGACACACAGTATATTTTTATTTTTATAAATATTTTAAAGGGCTATATTATATTTATATTGTATACTTGCATTTTTTAATTTAAAAATTTCAACTTTTTGGTTTTCTCACTATGTAGTGAGACTGACCTGGAACTCACTATGTAGCTCAGGCTGGTCTCGAACTCACAGCAATCCTCCTGCCTCAGCCTCCCGAGGGCTGGGATTACAGGCGTGCGCCACCATGCCCAACTAAAAATTTTAACTTTTTAAAAACAAATTGGGAAACTTTTCCTTTTTAGCAAATATTCCCTTACATTATCATTACTGGCAACACAGAACGCCTATCTTATTTTAGTTACATAAGATCACAACATATTTTATTCAGATTCCTAATGCAAGGAAATTTAGAAATTTACAATGTATATTATAACAGTAACACTGTGATAGACGCAGATGTTACCAAATTCCATTTTGCTATGAATTTTCAGGAAAAATATTTTAAAAGATGTTGCTTTGAAATGTTTTATTTATAAATAGCTCTTTTAGCTAAAACTATGCAATGGTTTCTGGAAAATGAGCACCTGAGCTAGATAATTTAGGGGAAGTCTAACAAATCATTTTCAAGTGCATATTAAATTTAACAAAATTGAAATCGCGGACCCCTAAAGAGTGGTAACCCCAGGACTGCAGGCCGTCACAGCAGTAATGAGAAGGCTCGATGATGCCCACACCTGGCCCAAATCACTGCGGGCGCTACGAACCTCCCGGGTACCCAGACAGCCGACCGCCCAGACGCAGAGGGAAATCATAGTAGCGACGCACCGGATGTGTGCGTGGAAGTGACTGAAGTCAACTCACGACCGATTGGTTGTCCCGAACGGACCTCAGCCTCCTTTCTACTGCCACTGGCCGCGTGGTTTGTCTGTTTGAACAGTGCCCGCCTCCTGGAGAAGCCGGGTCCTGAAGCTTCACTTCTCCTTCGTTATTATTCGTCTGCATTACAGTCCATCTTTTTATTATGTTCGCTGATTGGTCTTCACGGATGAGGGCCCGCCCTACCTCCCGCCCGGTTTAGAGGACAGCAGGGGAAGGCGGGTGGTGGGCACGGGGACCTGAAACGGTGTTAAAGGCGCTGTGGGCGGCAGCTGAGGCGTTGGCCGAAGCCGCGCGGTGAGTCTGGGGCCTGGCACCGAGCCCTCCAAGGCGGCGGAATGTCCAGACTCAGGGCCAGCCTGGTCCGTGGGAGGGGGGAGCCACCGGTCTAGAACGTGGAGTCCCCGTAGTACCGGCCCCACGCCACGACCTGGGCGCCGACGAGCCCTTGACGCCCGCTCCGGTGGCGACGCCCACCTCCTCGGAACCCAGGAGCGCCCCCAGGCCCTTCAGCTCGCTATGCGACCTAGGTGTCCTGGAGGCAGCGCGTCAGCGCCCGTACTGCCGTGGCGCCTTGGGGTCTTCTTCCCCGGCATAGTCACCCCTTCGTCTGGGCCGCGTAGACACGGTGGACTCTGCCTCCAGAAGCGCCACACACAGTGTCACTGCACCCTGAGACCCCCCCAGGGACCGAGTACCCAGGGCTGAACTCGCTTCCATCCTTGGGGTTCGCTTTCTCTCTCTGCCTGTCCCACGTCCATGGCCCTGGTTTGAGCCACCCAACTTTTAACTTCCTTAAACTATTACAACGCCCTCCAGATACTTGGCTTCCCCTAGTTGCATTGAATTCATCCTGGAGCAGGTAGGTGGCCTGTTTCAGCCTCCTTCCTTCTCCCATACACAGACAGACAGACACACAGAGGCACAGTGCCCCCCCCTTCCTGCAGGAATCCCTAGATCTCCTCTCCCTAACAGGCATTTCCTTCTAGTGTTTTGCCAGTACTGGAGTACTTAAATTTTCTCAAAATTAGTTATTCTTTGGTTTAACCCCAGTGTCTCACAAATTCATTCATAAATAAGAGTTTTTAGAAATTGGTTTTCTAGTATTTTCTAGTATGATCTGGACGTACTTGGGATAGGAGTATATTAATTTCATAGCAGTGTGGGCTGAGCCTTTTTATGACCACTTTATTGTACTTGTCTGATTATTCATATTTCCCCTCTGTTATAAGGTATAAGCTCATTGAGGGAAAGAGTAATACAGTTAGAAAGTGGATGATCTCAGGAGTTAATTGGTCTCTTGTACCTCCTATTTGAAGTACAGTCATTCCTTAGCATCTGTGGAAGATTTGTTCCCAGGACTCTTGGCGGGCACTGTGGTGCATACCTGTAGTAATCCCAATGCTTGGGAGGCTGGAGGATTGCTGCAAGTTGGATACATAGTGAGTTCAGAGCCAGCCAGAACTATATAGAAAGACCTTGTCTCCAAAAAATAATACCCCCACCTCCAAAAAAAAAAAAATCTTATACTA